AGTTGTGTTGTGTGTCGCAGTCTCCCAGGCCAGGTGTTCCCGTTTGCTCTCGATGCCCGTACGCCGTCCGTCCGCTGTGGTTTGCGCGTACACCGGTTTGCTCGTGCGTGCTTTCCTAGACTATTCTAGTATGGACCACATCTATCATTGCTCCGTCTGAAGACCCTGTGTTTTTTTATCACGCGTGTTTGTGATTATTAACACGCGTTGTACGACGACCAGGCCGTGTTTTTTTAATACGCGTTGTGTTGTTCAACACGCGTTGTACGACGATCAGGTGGAGTGATGATGTTGTACCATGTAGGTTAACTCGTTCCATCTATCATTTCTCCGTCTGAAGACTCCGTGAAGTAGGTTAACGCCGATACATGCGTCTTCCTTCATTAGTATTATTAGAGTTCTCTTGTTGTACTTGCTGTGGAAACCCGAGTTCGATTCTCGGGTTGGAAGCCACTCTCCGTTATTATTATTATTTTATTTTTTTCCTTGTTTCCTCATTTTGTTATCTACTTTCTATTTTATTGCGGCCTTTGTTGTTTTGTTACAACATAAGTATAATTTTGTTGGTTCTTGCTGTGAAAATTCGAGTTCGATTCTCGGATGGGACGCCACTCTCTCTTTTTTTCTTTTTCATTCTTCCTTTTTTTGTTCTCTCCTTTATCATTTAGTTTTCTTTTTTTTTCTTCTCTATTATTATTTATCATTATTTCCATCATTTTCTAGTGATATTTTCCAACGGTGGTCACCAATGTGTTTTTTCCCTTCTTTTAGTATTTTATTGTCTTTTTTTTCTCTTGTTCCTTTTCTAGCCTTTATTATTATTAGATTTTTCTTACTATTTCCATTTCTTATCCCGTGGCTGGTTACTGCCCTGACCTTCGTTAATCCCTCCGTTTTTGTTTTTTTTTTGTCCTTTGTCCGTCGTCGCTTCTCCCTCCAGTTGGCAAACGTTGCGAATGCTACCTGAGCAGATTGAGAGCATTGAGCTGTCACCTGCTGCGCTGCACGTATTTTCACTCACCGATGTTTAGACTTAATATTCTCCCACGTTTGTCGGCTGCGACTTGTAGCAACATGTTTCCGCTCGTTTTTACCGTCCATACGATACGTCGGAAGGTTGTCACCACACCCTTGGTCGCTCATTATCTCACTAATTTCACTCCTAACTGTTTCCTCGCGCCTACCCGTTCCCTTCTCCTTTCTTTTCCTCTTGGTACGCAGATGTCTTCCCCCGTTCGCTCTACCGATCGCCGCACCCAGGATCGCTCGCGCTCTCGCAGTCGGGAGCAGTCGGGGAGGGCGAAGAACGCACGCTCTCCACACTCCTCACGCCCTCGCGGTAGGGAGCAGGAGGGGGCGGCGAAGTGGGCACGCCCTCCCTCGCGCGCCCGTAGCCACTCTCGCCGTAAGAGCTCCTCCCCCTCGAAGCATCGCTCTTCGTCGCGCGCCCGCAGCTGCTCTCGCCGGAGGAGTCGCTCTCCCTCGCGCTCGAGCAAACGGCGCCGCTCTCCCTCGCGGTCGTATGCACGGCACCACTCCCTCTCGCCGCCACCCAGGCAGAGCCAGCGCCGTGTGTACTCCTCGGAGTACACCCAGTCGCGTGGCCTCCCGCGCGGCCACCGCGACACCGGCAACGAGCGCGGCTTGGAACCACGCCGTCCATTTCCCGGTGCTTTCAACCGCGTGGACCGCCAAGGCGCTGCAGGGGCCGCCCCAGCAGCCGAGGTACATCGAGGAGCGGCAGGGGCTGCACCAGCGGCTCTAAACGGACGGGGTGCTGCGTATCCAACTCCGGTCCAAGAGCCGCGAGCACCCACCCACGAGTTCCCACGTTCATTTGGTAAGCCCTTCGGTGCAGAAGCTAACCAGATGTCGAAAGTGATTGAGAGAGCCCGTAAGAGAGTTGCGGACAAAGTATCGGGTCCAGTGTACGCAGGGCCAGGCCCGGGGGAATTGTCGATCAACAATTGTGCAGTAAGGCTTCAGCAAAAAGTCATGAGTGTTCTTCGTACTCTCGATTCTGGAGTGATCGCGCTTGAACCGGACGTATTTCTAAACGGGTATTGGGCAACACAACCAGACGTTCACACCGGTCGGCGCAGGGAGTTGCTTACCGATCTACTACACGAACACCTGTTGACGCACAACCAAATCACTTCGGCTGACACCGTACAAGTGTATCGTATAACAGGAGAAGTAGTAGACACCCCACGCGACAGTGTAACGGCTACCGACTGGCTGCATCTCATTGTGCGTGAACATGCCTTGACGGGGGGTGCGGTTGAGTACGCTAATGCCGCGTTGCAGGCTATGATGCTCGGTACGCCCAAATCCATGCCCACAGCCGCAGTCCGCGTTTTAGCAGCCTTTCGCGCCACATTGGTAGATCCTGACCGGCCCCACATCACTGAACAGCGGTTTTTCTGGCGGTATATCTCGGCAGTGCAGATGATAGCCTTGTTCGAACGCGTCACCGAGGTACTCTTGCCGAATCCGGTTGACAGAGCCGGGGTCAACGGGCTGCTACATGAACGCATACATTCTGTCAGCACCACCCTACAGAAGTTGCGTCAAGAGTCGCACCACCCCATGGGGGACCACATGAGCCACCGTGGCAAGGTAGCTGAGAGCCTGTTCCGCGAGTTTGTAGCCGTTTTGAGCGCGCGTTCCAAGCCATACATGACCCCGCCGACGCCCCGCAACCCGACCCGCGCGGGCGGGCAGGATCGCCTCTGTGCGGCTAACCCTACGCCTCGCCACATGTCGATGCCCGAATATCGACAGCTGTTCACCGCAGATGGCTTGGCGTCGTACAACTCGAGGTTACCACTCACCGTGTCGGGAGGCAGCGCGCCCCTCCGGCCGCCGCCTCCCACCGGGCTAAACTCTGTTGCCGCCGTAGCGCCGCCCGTTGCTGCCCCAGAGACCCCTTCGTCGGTTGCCGTGGCAGCGTTCCAGAACCACAAGGCCAGCACGCCCGGCCAGCACGGTGTTCCTTTCACCGCCAAAGCACCGTCATCGACGGCCGCACCAGCGACAACGCCACCAACGGACGCCACCACGGCCACCGCCGTGACACACCCGCCGGTGACTGCGCCCCGGTCCGTGATCCTCGACCACCTCATGGAACATGGGATCTGCTACGCCCACGTGTTCTCGGCCTGCCGTCGACAAGGCCGTTGCAGATGGCGACACGACCTACTGCCAGCGTCATTCTACAAGGACGTACCACGCCCGGCGAGCCGTGGGGCTACTCACACGCGCCGCGTCGTAGCCGCGTTGACGCCCGCCCATTACGACACGGCCGTCGCCATGGGACTCGAGCTTCACGTGTCAGGCGAGCATCAGGTGGCGATGATAGCAGGGGACATCCCGCTGGGACCTCGGAGTGACGCCGAGATGTGAAACGAGGACCCGGGTCTCGCCAACCCGGGGCACCTTGCGTCCGCGAGGGCGGAGCACTGCACCGGCGATCAGTTGTGGATACGTGGTGAGATCGGCGTAGACGTAAGTCGTACCCAGTGGATATTTTGCTTGATACCGGGGCGGGCGGGGGCAACTACATTTCGTTAGACCTTTGGTATCGCGTACGTACCTTAGCGAGGTGCAGGTTGGACAGATGTTCGGCGGGAGCGTTGGAAGCAGCGAATCCGTCAGAAAGTGGCGTGCCCCCGAAGCGCATTCTCGGACATGTCACGATCCCAATCATGTTCCAAGACGACTCTCAAGTACGGTTCGTCACTGCCAGAGTAGTACCGGACCTCCCGTACGGTATCATCATCGGAGCTGAATATCTTCGACGCAACAAGAGCACGCTTGATTTTGGAGAAGGCAAAGGCTTTCAACCCACGCCTGACGCGCCGTTCGTACCGTTCCTGTCGAGGCCGGTAGACCACCCTGCCCAACCGTCATCGCTCTCAGCAGCACGCGATCGTTTTGCTCTCTTGACATGCGACCCGCAACGCGACACTAACCTGTCCGACATTGCCCCGCTGCCCGAGCTGCCCAGTTATCGTGACGTCGCATGAGAGGATGACAGCACTCTGGAATGGGACCTGGTCCTGGGCTCGCGGATGTCATCAGGGTTCACTAGTTTCGCGATGCAGACTGTAGCGATAGGCCCTCGGCCACAGGACAGGCAGTTGGTGATGGTGTTACCTACGGAACGGTTCGACCTAGAGAAGGGAGCCACAGTGGGGATTGCACGGGCAGTGATGTGGTGGACGCCGGGAACACCGGTGTACTGCAAGTTGGTGAACCGCGATGCCCAGGTTGTCGAGGTCACTAACGGTAGCATTTGCGCCAGGATGATCGCCCTCAATGTCCGCGATCGTGGCCGTTTCGACTCTTTGTTCGACGATACCCCGTCCACTGTTGACCCTCCACTCCCCGACCCGGTTGTTGTGCCCACCCGTGACACGAGCGACGAGACCTCCGCGGCCTCGCCACCCACTGTACGGGCGGCCGACGCTAACATGGGCCAGCTCGGAGCGCTACAGAAGCAGGAGTTGGTCGAGGTTCTGGCAACGTTCGTTGAGGAGGGCCTATTCCCGATCGACCCTAAGAGAGTGGCAGCATGCGGCGGCAGTGAGTTGGAGCTTCCTTTGATTGACGAGTTTTGTACACCTCACGCAGCCAAACAACGCCGTTTTTCACCCGAGGAGAGACGCATGATTAGGGCTGAGATCCAACAGTTGCTGGATCGTGGTATCATTCGGCCTTCCATGTCACCCTGGGCAGCTCAATGCTTGTGTGTGAAGAAGAAAGATGGAACTATGCGACTGTGTATTGACTGGAGGGTGTTGAACAAGCTTCTGGTAGCCGACAGTGGCGGGCTAGGTGATATGCAAACCATATTCGATGGACTGAAAGGCAAGCGGTACTTCACTCAGATCGATCTAGCGTCGGGCTTTCATCAAATTGAAATTGCCGAAAAGGATCGGTATAAAACAGCCTTCCGTGACGCAGACGGCATGTTGTACGAGTTTACCCGTGCGGCTTTCGGACTAACAGTTCTACCTTCCGCGTTTACGCGTCGAGTGAAGTCTGCTTTAGGAATTGTCGATGGCGTGTTTAGCTGGTTGGACGACATACTCGTCGCAAACGAAACATGGGAAGAACACCTCGCTGCATTGGTGCTCGTTCTAACACGCCTTCGTGCTGCTGGACTGTCCGTTAACTTTCCGAAATGCATTTTTGGGGCTTCGTCCCAAGAGTTTCTTGGAATCATAATTGATGCTACCGGCATGCACCCAGCCCCGTCGAAACTCGAAGCGATTGCCAACATGCCCCGGCCACAAACGGTCGAAGACCTCCGCACGTTTCTAGGCTTGACGGGATATCTCCGACAATTTGTCCCTCAATACAGTTTAGTTGCGGCTCCCCTGACCGACATCCTCCGCAATAAGGACTTTGCGTCTAAGCGCGCACGTAAACTCCCAATTCAGTGGGGGGAAGCGGAGGAACACGCCTTCCACCACCTAAGATAGTGCCTGGCTTCCCCTACCGTGTTAGCTTTTCCTGATCCTAATGCACCTTTTGAGCTGCACTCAGACGCTAGCTCAGTGGGCGCAGGTGCTACCCTGCTGCAGACCATCGACGGTACACCCAGGATCATCGCTTTCGCTAGCCACAAGTTCTCTCGCACCGACGCTCGACGAGGACCCACGGAACGGGAATGCATGGGAGTATTGTGGGGCGTTGATCATTTCAAGCCGTACCTAGCTGGTAGACAGTTCAAAGTCGTGACGGATTGCTCTGCACTCACGTGGTTGTTTCGTAGTAGAGAGCTTTGTCCCAAGTTGCATAGATGGGCTCTTCGCCTCATGGAGTACGACATAGTACTAGAATGGAGGGCAGGAGTACATCACGTGTTGCCAGATGCTCTGTCCCGTCTCCCCGTCGCCAGTAGCCCCTCCGTAGATGTAGACGACTCTTTTCCTGACGATTTCACGTCCCCGGATTCCGCTACTTTTGTGGGCCCGCAAGGCCCTGTGCTTGATGGTGTGCGTCTCGCGAACCTCACGAGCACGGACGAATCCGAACCCGTAAATGCCGATAGTGAGATTGATCCCGCGGTCATAGCACCACTATTGGCTGACTTCCCGTTCGCTGCCTGTGCCTCGCTCGATGACCTTGCGCCGCCACGTCGCTCAGGCAGACGACGCACGCCCTCAGTACGCCTGCAACCCCTCAACGACCCTCAGCTGCCTGCCGTGGCGCAGGTGTTATCAACTAGACTACAACGCGCGTTCGCACCTGAAGCCATCGAGCTACCCCCGGCTCATCCACCGGAGCCGGTGCAGCCCGAGCGCACAAGGTCCGCCGACGTGGAGGAGGTGCTTTCAGCAGGGGGGGAGTTGCCCTTTCGGTCAGCGGTAGACACGGGGTCGACGGCAATTCACAGGGCGCTACGAGTGCTGAAGAACCCGGACACGCTTATTCGGCGCCGGCAAGACGATGCCCTTTTGGGCCAGGTTCGGCGGGATCTAGGGGGGAGTGGTGAAGCAGGATACAGTTTGGATGATAAGGGAGTGCTACGGTTCGAGTTTGAGAAAGGAAAACTGGTAATAGCGACCCCCAAAAGCATGGTGGCTGACATCCTAGCGTTGGTCCACACATTACATGGACACGCAGGAGTTGGAGCGACCTTAGCGCTAATTCGGGATCACTTTCACTGGCCTAAACTCACACGAGATGTCCGTCAGTACGTTTTGTCGTGTAGCTGCAGACGTCGCAAAAGGCCCACTAGTAGACGCGTACCGATGCTGCCAGGGAGACCATTGGAACCTTGGGATGAACTTGAGATTGACCTACTCAAAATTGACACGACATCATTGTCTGGTAACAAGTACATTCTGCTTGTGGTAGACCGTGCATCCAAATTCCCTTTTGGTTTCCCTCTTGCGACCAAGGAAGCATTAGGAGTAGCTAGAGCGTTGTTAATACTGTGTTTAACTTTCGGCGTCCCCAAAACCATTCGTTGCGATGGCGGTAAAGATTTCGGCGGAGAAGTAGTGACTCACCTGTGCCGGTGGTTACAGGCGGATATCGCTTTTGGAGTAGCAGATCATGCCCAAGGGCAAGGCTCAGTTGAGAGGCTAGGAGGCTGGATGCAAGAGCTGTTGGCAGAGCTGTGCAAATGCTGGAACGACCGTTGGGATGAGTATGTATCGCCTGCCATCTGGATTAAGCGCACGCTGCCAGACATTTCCGTTCACCCGCACATGACCCTGTTTGAACTGATGTTCGGTCGTAAACCCCGCACCTCGTTGGACTCGCTGGTGCCGCTTTCAGACGAGGGTAACCAAGATCCTTCGGGAGGTTTGGACAACTTCGTTGAACGGCGCAAGCAGAACCTTCGGGAAGTTCGGTTGGTGCTCGAGAAGCGCCACGACCTGCGGGTAGCAGCAAGGGCCAAGTCGAACGCCAATATTTCGAGGAGTACGGCGTCGGTAACGGTAGAGAAAGGCAACTTGGTTATGGTGCGCGAAGCCGACAGCAGTCGTCACCGAGACAAGCGGGGCCGGAAGTTGCAGCACGACCTCTACACCGGCCCTTGGACAGTAGAAGAAGTTTTGCAGAGGGGCTTGAGCGTGCAAGTGAAGATGCAGGGTAGAAAGCTGCGTTCGCGGAGAGTTTGCACGGCCGAGTTGAAACTCTTTCATCTTCGCCCACCCCATTTGAGACATTATATTGCCGAGGAATTTATGCAGTTCGCGTGGGGCCCTGATTTTGCAGCACATGTCGAGCAACCTGGACTAGGGACGTTTGTCTCCCTCTCTGACTGCCGTCGTGTGCATTCACCTTCCGGTGCCTTGGTGTGGGAGTACAAAGCCATATCACAGACTGGTGTAGAGTCCGTGTGGCTGTCGGAACCTGAGCTTCTCCGCACGTTCACACGCTTGCAGTTGGACGGGTTCATTGCACTATGGCATCTGTACTATCCTGAATTGGCGTCTCAACTTACCCCACGCTCCCTACCGCGTGCACCGTTGTCCCCCCGTGAAGCCCTGCGTATCTACCCAATAGGTTTCACTTTCCAGAAAGACTTTGGCGGAGGGCAAAAGCTCCAAGGACAAGTGTTTGGTTACCGAGACCGCTACTGGCGTGTGCGTTACAGTAACCAGAACTGGGAGGAGTTGACGCGTCAGGAGCTGGAATGTTGTCTTCACTGAAGATCGTCGTCACCGCACCAGTGGCTGCTGATTCGTGCATGTTGGGGTGGGGGGACATTAGCCCGTGTATCGTGTGGATTCTTTTGTGTCGTGATGTCAAGTTGGGGGGAAGCAATCGCCTTGTGGGTTTGTTGGGATATTGGAAACTGTCGGGCCTTGGAAAATGCGGTGCTGTCGGAGGAGTAGGTTTCGTGAGGCTCAGTCGTGATTAATGGGCTTACTTGCGGAGGGTATGTATTGTTCATACTCGGTAGGCGGTACCGAGTCGATGGTGGATTGGTGCGTTCATTGTATGCAAGCGGGCATGCGTGGACTGGTAGGTCCTGGAGGACTTGGTCGCAATCGCTGTTATGATTGTGATAACGCTTGTAGCCAGTGGCGGTATGTCGGTCTATTCCACTGGCATGGAGATCGCTCTCCATGCCAACGAACTTCACGAGAGGGTTTGTCGAAAGTTTGTCCCTCAGAGAAAAGAGAGAGACGAGATGGCGGCGTGAAGTATCGGGTGGATAGTTCCCTTTCGAGGCATATCGGTTGATGGAGAATCCTGCAGTTCTGCCATTGCATTGGTTTCAAGTACAGGATGAGGCGTTAGTATATTATGAGTTGATAATACACTAGGGGGGATGTTACGGTTCGAGACATTCATTGTCCCGCAAGTACACCCCCACAGAGGTAGTTGGCCGCATTCTGCGGAGCCTCTGCAAGAGCTGTCCGGACTCGCCCTCCTCTGCTCACAACCAAGCTACCATCCTGAGCTTGAACTAAA